ATGTTGCCGCCAAGTCTGGCCGGGTTTCAGCGGTGTTGCCGCCAAGTCTGGCCGGGTTTCAGCGGTGTTGCCGCCAAGTCTGGCCGGGTTTCAGCGGTGTTGCCGCCAAGTCTGGCCGGGTTTCAGCGGTGTTGCCGCCAAGTCTGGCCGGGTTTTCATGGTGTTGCCGCCAAGTCTGGCCGGGTTTCAGCGGTGTTGCCGCCAAGTCCGGGTTTCAGCGGTGTTGCCGCCAAGTCTGGCCGGGTTTCATGGTGTGACGCGCCAAGTCTGGCCGGGTTTCAGCGGTGTTGCCGCCAAGTCTGGCGGGTTTCAGCAATGTTGCCGCCAAGTGGCGCCAGGTTTCCAGCGGTGTTGCCGCCAAGTCTGGCCGGGTTTCAGCGGTGTTGCCGCCAAGTCTGGCCGGGTTTCAGCGGTGTTGCCGCCAAGTCTGGCCGGGTTTCAGCGGTGTTGCCGCCAAGTACCATGCCAAGAGTTTTTTTTCCCTTATTTGTGATACAAATAATTGATACATGTTGTCTAAGGAAAGAATACAAACAAAAAATATGTATTGGCAACTAAAAACATTCTTTTATGGAAAATATTTATTGAAAATCTAACAAATAAGCGATGCATTTGTAAAATATTGTATTGTCTCAGTAGGCTATTATAACGTTGGTGTTTGTAATCAACCTCAGGCAGTCAACGTGTTAAAAAGATAAATACATTCTACACTTGCTATTCAAGTTAGAATACCGGAAAAGTTTTATCCTGCAAATTTTGAACAGACTATTTTTCTGGATAAACCATCGACAAATAAATATAAAATAATACCAAATAAGGAATCGTTTTGATCCGATGTCGTATGTGGAACAAGCTAATATTTACCTCTGCGTTATTTAATATACTTTCTTTTTTTTATTCGATAAGCAATTCACTGCGGTAGTGGATTAGTTTACATCTCCAAATCTCAAACGGAAATTGTCTTGGAGGTGGATTGTCTGGCATTTAAAAAATAAAATTGTACTACCGTCTTTTCTCCTTATTTTTATCATTCTAATTAAATTTGTTGACTTTAAATCCCTAAGAGAAATAGGGTTTCTGCTTTATCTGCGTACAGGTTTAAGTATTTAACTTCTAGTAAAATGAGTTTTACAGACGTCGATATTCTAAACACCCAAATTATTCTCTCTTGTCATTTCGACTCGCCATTTAAATATGTGAAAATTTTATTTTAGTGAAATGCGTAATTTAGTTTAGTTGAACTTAAATTCTTTTGTGGCAATTTTCAGAAAAGCGGTTTTCATTTATGTTAAATAAAACAATTTTTAAATTGATGTATTTTGAAACAAATCTTCCAAACACAATTTTATTTTAACACTGTTAAACTACTTTTTTGTCTTCGAAAACGTGACACAATTTGTTGAAACGTTCAGAAAATTTTTCAAATATATTTGAGACCTATTTAACCTTTGACTGTTTGTACAATTATTCAGCTACGTCCTTACGTCTTTTAGATGGCTGCAGGATGTACGTGATCATGGCTCTCCGCGACTTCATCGTTTGTACCTATACATCATGTTACTTTTACCATCTGTCAAGTTTCTGCTCTGCCATACACTTAAACAAACTCTTCAGGATGTTTTACTCAATATTTTTTACTGTCGGTATGTCACGTGAATGTCAAATTCGCCAAGCTTTCTTTCCTCATTCCAGAAATATCTGATCCTAAGTATATTCCTCTCTGAATTTCTGGTACGAGGAGTTATCATTATTTACTATTCATATTATCACAACGTTTCGACCGTTGTTCCCGGCCTTCTTCAATTTTATATCGATCTGGCTAACCTATAGTGAATTTTGAACTGAACTCTCTACTTGATATACAGGGTAGTCTGTTCTCGTTCCACTGCACATGTCAAGGGCTATCGTCTAGTTATTATTATTTAGTACTGCTCAGTTCGAATTCCAGTTGAATCCATTGCATTCACTTACGTGCTAATATCCTTGGGAAAGGTATGAATTCTCTTCTTCTCCCCCAGCTATGGGTACCTAGCAGGACAGACCGGGTTCTATAGCCTTGGATAGCAACTGGTCTACCACAGAAAGAAATGGCAACGTACTGCGGGAAAAAATCTGCTTCGTCAGTCATGTATCGAAAGATACATGATCGCCTAAGCGTATATCACGCATGGCACATAACTGATTGACTGCTCGGTTATTGCTCGTCCGTTTCAACTGGGTGCAAGTACACCCTGCTCGACCCAGGGATGGAACTCACACTGTCCTCTGAAACAATGTCGTAGTTGATTAAAGTGCTTTGTGAATTTGGGACAGTATTTGTGAGTTCAGTCATTCGGTCGAGCACTATATATTTGCACTCGGTGGAAACAGGCGAGCCAGTAACTCAGTAGGTATTTATCCATAGACATGAGCCGTAGCGCGAGAACAGTCTACAGTAGATTAAATAAAGGGGTAAGTTTTTTTCATTATATGCCCTTGAGTTAGGCTGGAGGATAGAATAGCCGAAATATTCTGATAACAACAACAAAAATGAGGACAAGATTCTGAATATAAATAGCGTCAATAGCGTCTTTGATTTTTTTTCGTTGATCACATGTTCAGTCCATGGTTCTTTTCAGTATCCTCTGTTGTTTTAATTTTCTTCATATCGGCTCTAAATGAATTCTGGGGAAAAAAAATTTGTGTGTAAACCTACAACAGTACCCTCACTTTGCTTCCCACCGACCAGCCAATGACATGCGCCTGTTGCGTACCCGTTTTTATTCACGTTGCTGTGCAACAAAAACGGGAAAGGGATCGTTGCACGTTCACTAGAAAACAAAAGATTAAAAAGAATCCGGATTCTGTTTCCAATATATCATGGTGTTTCGTTCAAGGTTTCGCTTATTCTGTCATGGTGGTTATATAAGTGACACTTGGGAACAACTTATACCATATCAGACTGCCAACTCTCTATCCATCTACACATCACGACATGTGACTGGCAATAAAAACTGGCGTCATCGGAGTTACGTTCTCTGCCAAGGTCAGACAAGAAATGACTCGTCCTGGTTATGACTATAAACTACATCCGACAGTAAGAATCCTAATAGGGAAGTTTTGAGGTGCGTGGGGCCACCTCTTGATTACTATTGTTCTCAGGTTCATCCGGACTCAGGGTTATAGCACCTGTTAGGTTCCCAGCTTTGGGCAAATAGTGAGACTTCAAACTGGAGTCTGAACATGAAAATATAGAAGTACGTAAGACAATATTGAAAGAATTTAAAAAATTACAAGCATGCATTATTGAAATTTTTTTACCAAAGCTGAAAAGAAGAAAAAATTTCGGCATTAGATGACCCATAAGGTGTTGATATGCCATTTTGCATCTATTCCATTCCTAACCAAAACAGAAGTGATTTATTCGATCCCAAGTATGACTGTTGATATAGACTAGCAACCTGAAATTGGTTTGTTGTTACTTGACCTCAAATGATATTCCTTTGGAATATACTGTCGATGAAGAATATGGAAAAGCCTATCTAAACTAAAATGATATCGACTTGTCTGAGGAAATTATTCCTGCGGGATTGGAACAAAACTGTTTTGCCAAGATGCTGGTAGCTGAACTTTATAGCCATGCACTCTAGCGACATCAGTTACCGAAATTTCTCTGCAAGTGAAAAATTGGTTAAAGCATCGGAAGTGTATATAGAAAAATAAAACAAAAGCCTGTCTTTGCATTGCAAATGTGATTCTTAAAATGATCTCTGAATTGTTAGTTCTTTCGCATGCGATGTATTCTCACTTTCAAACTCATTTTTTCTCGTTATATGTAACATTTTCCTCAGCGATGTCCCCACTCCAAAAGTTAAATATTTCCCTCGAAACTTTGGCTATTAAAATTGCTGGTGTATGCCATTGGCTATATACAAAGTCATCCCCATTCACGATGAGGTCATGGTGTTTCTGGAAGTTATATAACACAGGAATGACTGTAGTAAAACGATTAAACTCCAAGAAATACATACGGTTTACTTTAAAGGTATTAAAATAATTGCAGAAAGATGTGATTAAACCAATAGGGTAACCTTTCTTATTTACATTCGGAATATCCTCATCATCGTTGTTGTTATCACAACGTTTCGTTCGTTGTGCTGGACGACCTTCATCAGGTGTGTATTGATCCGGGTAACCTACAGGGAATAATTGAGCAGTATCAAAAGTAAGAAATAGACGAGATATACGTACATAGATACATACATAGATACATACCGGGTGTAGCAGCAAAATTATCCAAATCGTATAACAGCAACATTTTCCAATTGTTAGATTAAGATTTGAACCGTTGTATCTTGGAAGTGATTAAATATATCTTACTTGAATTCACCGAGATTTCTACTTAGAGCTAAATACTTTCTTATTGTTCAAAGTTCAAATAATGATCCATCTTGCTGTTGTGAACTCCTGATCAAGTTTTCCTCTCTCTCTCTCTCTCTTTTCCCTCTTTTTTAAACGTATTCACCGTTCTCTTGATAGTTTTTGAATAGACTTTAAAAATGGAAGACAGGGTATGAATGTTGGTGCCAGTACTGAAGGCGTGAATGGTCTTTTTATTCTCACCGTTGCTCAATTGGAAAGGCAGTGATACTGACACAAAACGGATTTAACCTGTTCTCTTTCACCCTGAATAGTTGAAAGGGTTTTTCAGCGATTCTTACGAAAACTGGTGTCGAAATGGCTAAACATCTTATCTGAATACCTGATGAAGGCCGAAAAGTCCTATGGTTGAAACCTGATACCAAGAAGGATAATGACAAAAACCAAAATTTAATATTTTATAACAGAAGACGATGCTCTCAGTTACGTTGTGAGAAAGCCAGGAAAAGTATCTTGAAAGTTAAGTATGCAATGATATATATATATATATATATATATATAGATATATAATGCATACGATTTTGTCAACGTTGTTTCGTTTTTCAACTTACTTCAATATTTAGAAATGTAAATTACTTGAAGTCGAATATGAGTAAAATTTCTATGGCCTTAATGAAAAAAATAGTTTGGGGAAATATTGATTTTCAATTTTTTTAATGACAAATTACCGAAATTAACATTTAATTGCAGTTGTATTTAACATCTGGTGTTTGTAATGTAATCAATCAAACCTGCACAGTTGTAATCGATATCTAAGTATTTTCGAAATGTAAGATGTCGATCAATACGTTAAAAGCGATAAAAATATATCGCCATAACTTTCCTGAAAGAAATGAAAAAGTTCATATGCAAATGTATCGAAAATCAGATCGTGTTTGATTTTTCGTTTCTAACTTTAGTTTTTTATTTGTACGTTACAGGAGCGTTTGGCCGACAGTTTAAGAAAATTTTATTGACTGTCTGAATTTAAATTTTGAATAAGAATGTGTTCATTTCGCCATTGGGAGACCATCTATCTTTTCTCTCTAGCTTAATGGG